AACAATCCTGTGAGGTAAGTTGAGCTGAGAGAGAGTGAGTGACTAGCCCGAAGACACCCAGACGGCTTTCATGTCTAAGGCAGGACTCACAGTCTCCTGCTTCTAGCCTTAAACCAACAGACTAGCTCTCTCAGCTTTCTCCCAACTCTATATTTGATCCAGAAAAGATCCAAAACATCTTGCTTACTATTATTTGCTTGCCCCACAATGAGCAGGTTAATGTTGCACAGATTCATTTAGGGTGGACACTGTATAGAGCAGCGGTAGTTAACCTTTTCGGCACCAAGTGCATGTGCCAGAAACCAGAAAAGCAGCTTCCCGATGTGTGCGCGTGGGAGCACTTCCCGGTGTATGCATGCATGCCATCCACCTGGTCTTGCTGTTTTTAAAGTGCATGCATGTGCAAAAAGCAGCTGGCTGGCCCGTGCATGTGCTCTGGGGAGCTGCTCTTCTGGTTTCAGCACATAACTTCCCCAACAATGGGCCGGTGCCCCTTTGCCTTTCTGAGATTTTTACCTTAAACTTTAGTAACTTTATTGTCATTTTGAATGTACACTAATGGCATACATTAAAATGAATTTCATTATATATAGCTCTCAAAGGGTCATCATCTCCAACATACACTACATAACCATGACAAATAAATACGAAATTATGCACATACCCAAATATATTATATAGAACAGAGAAACAACATGGTCTAGTTTGCATGTATACATGTACATGGCGAGAAAAACTAATCTTGTAAGTTTACCAGATGATAGCATATATTTTCAAGGTCATGTTGTCCTGTAAATATATCTTTAATATTCAGTCCTTCAGTAAGTATTAAAGGGAGTCCTTTAATCCTTAGTTCAAGCAAATATCTATTAGTCTATAAAGTGGAATACAACTGTTGCCTCCTTCCAAAAGCTCTTACATTAGTTGAGATGAGATGCTGTTTTACACTGGTGATTCCTCTGCTATTTGCTCAAGACGAACTCGGAGCTCCAGGGAAGATTTCCACCAGGGTATGAGTGCATGAAGAAATACATGAGGAAAATGGTATTTCTGGCTGGCTGCAGCTACTTTTCCCGACTTCATTCCCTCATTCCTGTCTCAAAGATCCTATGTAGATCACTGTTTCTTTATTGGTATTAATATAAGAAGACAGCAGTCTTGAACAGAGTAGTGGGAATTAATCCCCTCCACCCCTATTGGCAGCTGATGGCCAATCTGTTGTGAAAGAAGAAAAATGAGAACAGCTCCTGAAAGCTTCAGAGATCAGAAAAGGTGACAGCAGTCATATGTAGTCTCCATGGGCAACGACTGGTATCTCCTGAAAACCAAAGAATGAGTCCCAGACTCATCCATTCATACTTTCAAAATTGGCCATTTTGCATTAGTTCCAAAGGACTCTGATCAAACTCTCACACTAACTCGAAGTGTGCGAATTGTTCTCTGAATACTGTACTCAAACAAACCACAATCACTTCTTAAGTCCTATCTATCTACCATCTCCAAAACATGTGTGGGCATTAGCAGCAATAATTACACCTACCTATTATGTTATATTGAAATAAAGAAAATATGTTCATATGGTAATTAGCCAAATATATTTTATATGGAAACTTATCAATATATTTACATTGGTCCAAGGAAGAGAATGGGGTTTGTTATTTCTTTTACTGACAAAGGAGCATATATTCTTAATTTAGCAATAGCACTTAGACTTATATATTGCTTCACAGTGCTTTATAGCCCTCTCTAAGCGGTTTACAGAGTCAGCGTATTGCCCCCAACAATCTGGGTCCTCATTTTACTGACCTCAGAAAGATGGAAGGCTAAGCAGCCTGGTGAGATTAGAACTGCCAAATTGCAGGCAACTGGCAGTCAGCAGAAGTAGCCTGCAGTACCACATTCTAACTACTGCACCACCATGGCTCCTAATTTAGCAGCGCCTCTTGCCTAACATCTGCCATTTCAAAGAAATCAAAGCCAATTCCTCTTCCTATCATGATAATTGGGAACAAAGTACAAAAAGGACTGCCTGGAGAAAGGTTCACAAGATTATGTTCCAGCCAAGTATAATATCAGGGTAGCCCTCTGAAAATTATTACTCTATGAGATACCAACTTCTAATCTTTCAAATGAGTTGGACTATAGCTATTACTTGTCTGTTATGAATAAAGGGAATAGTAGATTGATTATAGTAATAATTACAGGATTATAATTGCTAGCTTTTAAAATACATAAGGCTACAGATAGAAATATGGCAGTTTTATCCTAGTCCATTAGTGAATTTCATGGCAAAGCGAACATGTTTTATCCTGTTTTTTAATACTGGAATGGAATTAATTGTACACCACTTTATGCTAATTGAATTTTTCTAAGGAAGGATTTGTTCTGAAGATCAGATCCTTACATCGTGTATGCTGGCAAGGTTTAAATCAGGTTTTACATTGTAATTTTACCTTCACCATTTCACAAGAGAAGTTCTTTTAAGTATTCCTGGAATAAGAGGGTAGACACATGTTATATACCATACAGATTACTGTATATCACTGATTTTCTTTGGAATGGAAAGTTTCCTTTTCTGTAATGTCGTTCCGTTTACAAAGCAGTGCTTATTAAGTATACCACCTATATTATGTGCTGCTTAATCCTAAAATTTGGCAGATAACAGAAGCCGACAAAAGTGTACCAATTTAATAATATCAGCCTTTCAGAAGAGACATTGCTTTACAATAAAACTCAGGGCCTTTATGCCGAAACTCCAAAATTCAATTTAATTTCTCCATCCAATGTCTAATAGTTAGGTGGCAAACCTATGCAAATTATAAGCAATCAATTTCTGGTCAAGCAGAAAATGACCTCTATCTGAGGCCCTGGAGGATTATAGCCACTCAGTAAAGACAATGCTGTACTGTAGAGATCAATGTTATTATTTGACATAAAGTCCTATATTTATGTCGTTGCAAGCAGCTACTGTAGCATAATAAAACATGTGAGTAATTATAGGGAAATAGAAGCCAACAAACTGAAATGTACTTCTGATAAAAATGGAAGGCTCTGTTGACTTGTCTTGTGACAAGATCACTCATTAAGATGAGCTTGAAATAAAATAATAACATACAAAAACAACTCACTCGGGACCTAGCCTTTAACAAAGAGGTGTACAATGCTCAGATCTACTGTTCTTGTTCCTGGAAACTCTGTAAAATTGCATCATTGATATTTCATAGCAAATTACCGATTCTTAGTTGAACAAATTGAATTTACTAAGTGCATGCATGCATTTGTGCAAATATTGAAACAGGTAGGTTCTGAGTTTCTAGTACCTTAACATATTGTTTAGCAATGATTCAAGTCTTTTAAAATTGAAAGTTCTGCCCTATACTATTGGGTGATAACCCTATGATCCATCCTACAGATCTTGAAGGTGAATAAAATCTTTCTAAATCATGCATCCTCTGTGCGCAAAAAAAGTTGTCTACTACATCCGCTTTTAATAATTGGGAAAGGAAGGGACTTACATAGTGTGATTTATATATTAGCTGTTGTTTTAAATCAGAGGTCTCCAAACTTGGCAACTTTAAGACTTGTGGACT